CCAGTTCGAGCCTATCCAAGCCTTTATCTGAGCCTACCCAGGCCTTTGCCTGAGCCTACCCAAGCCTTTACCTCTCCAACCTAGGGTAGGCTCGTGCCTATCCAAGCCTCGTGGCTCCGCCGCCTATGATATGTACTATATGATGTTTCATATGTTATGGTTGAGCAATAATTTTCAAATTTAATATTGAAAGTAAATATCTGATATCTGCTTTCTGATGATTTTTTTAAAATTATAGGTGCTATATAATATGTCATATGTTATATTTGAAGAATAATTTTGAAATTTTCATATTGAAAGTAAATATCTGATATCTGCTTTCTGATACTTTTTTAAAATTATAGGTACTACATGATGTTTCATATGTTATATTTCAAGAAGAATTTTCAAATTTTCACATTGAAAGTAAATATCTGATATCTGCTTGTCTGGTCAGTATAAATATAAGTGGTAGGGTTTTAATGATTCAATAGACATTTGTTTTTAATTAAGTTGTAGAAGACAGTTAGTACGATGATATCAACTCAATGTTTCTCATTATTTCTAGTTAGTAGTATTCTAAAAATTTTGAAAATTTTGAAAATTTTGAAATTTTGAAATTTTGAAAATTTTGAAATTTTGAAAATTTTGAAATTTTGAAAATTTTGGCACATAAATTTTGAGAATTAGTAACAATTTGATATTTGTCACTCCTTGACTGAATCCGTACAGATTGTGCTTATAGTTGCAAGGACAAACTACACCCACACTCTGTCATTCAGAAGCAAGTAATACAGAAAGCAAATTATAGAGAATTATGTATCTGTCGCAGTTGATTTTGCTTTTCTAATTTTTCTAAAATTCATTCTGATTCGTTCGAGTTTTTGCAAACAATCCTGATTTTGCGGATGTTACATATTCTTTGATAAGAGTGCCAAAAGCTAAAAAAAGCATTGCATGATTCGACAAAACTAGCATGAGTCAAAATTAATTTTTAAAAGTCATGAAGTCAGAATCCACTATGATGCATTGTTGATGTTAACACGTATTCAAAAAATTCAAATTGTTAGTCACAGAAGTGGTAACGACGATGTCCAATTAATTATTCTTAGTGGAATTAGCGATGGCCATGAACAATGGCACAAAATTTCCATTTTTATATTCAAGAAGTTTACTTACATTGTTAAAACGAAAGTTGGCAACAGCAGTATCGGAACAATGATCACGACTTAAATCGATAATCATAACTGAGTTCTCAGTAGAACCCGTAGGAAGACTCATTGGTGCTTGAAAAGTTTGATTGCTATATTCCAGAGTTATATTCACATAATGAGTAACTCACTCGGTAACAATAATATTGAGATAGTTATCGTTGTTCAAGTCACCGATGACGATCGAGTACGGATTACTATTGTGTAACAATGCTGCTTGTATAATAAAAGTTTTGATTTCACAAAAGGTTCAAAAACGTAATGTTTAATCGATAGGGTGCATATGGATTGATAGGGGTAAGATTTTCCAAATATTAAGATATCAGAACTCTGAATGGACGGGATTGAGTCTATGGAAGCTTGTTCTTGGGTGCTTGAATCTTGGTCCATCATAATTCATGTTGTTTTTTGTTCAAAAATAGTCCAAATCAGACTACGTTTGCTCATGGATCGCCTCTAAAGCTAAAAATTTGCTCCCAAAATAGTTTGACTTGCCGTCCTGCTCAAAGTTATTTATACTCATTAACTATCCTTTTATTTCATAAAATAAGTCAAAGTTTGTTCACAAAAGAGGAAAACGAGACAACAATTTTCTTGTTAAATAAAAACAAAGTTTTTTAGTATGAGTAGACAATTTCATTAGTACTAACAATATTCTGACAAAATATCTCATACCGAGGCAACAGCAACAAATTCGAATGGATAAGTTAAACTAGGAACATGCTTATAACAATCGTATTTATCGATGTTGTTTCAACATATCGACATATTGTCAGCAAATTCTTATTTATTTCAGCTGCATGACTTTTTTTCTGTATTTTACTTGGCATACTTAGTTACTTTTCATTGGAAAAACATTGAAATCCCTAAAAGAATTAAACGAGATTGTTCATAATAGGATATTTTTCAGTAATAATGCGCATTTCGGAGAAGTTTTGTCTTTTATTCGAGGTTCAGTCCATGGACATCATCCCTCTATGGGTCAAGGCTTATACTTAATGAAAAAAAAGACAAAAAATTTGCTTTTGATCGATTTTTTCACTAGCAATCGATTCAAATGATGCCATATTTATTTGATGTTCAATCGATTTTAACCCAGTAACACGAATCTATAGATAATCACATTTAGTCGATGAAAATCCAATAACACGTCTTTACAATTAAAAAAAAATATTTCAATCAAATAAATCAAGACAAAATTAATTATGATCTAATTTAAATGCATGCGACATTACATGAATAAGTTTCAATTGATATCGTATATCTAATTGTGAGATTTGTGTCAAAGTTTGGTCCACGATTCTGATTACTTACTATTTTTTGAGCCAAGGAATTCGAAAAAAAAAACAACTTAACATTTGAGTTTCGATGCTAAAATTCGAAAAAAATTAGGTTTGCGGTTATCACGATCAGAATTGATTAAAAATTAAATAATCTAGGTAAAACCAGATAAAAATGGTGCCATTTTTATCAATCTTTTAATTAGAAGAAATTGATTAAATTCAGATTCTTTTTGTCTTGTATTTAGATGAGTAATCTAGAGTGCTCCACCGCAAAATCAATGTAGCCTACTTCATTGAGAGTCCTAATGCCGACGTTGTGTCTCAATATGATAAAAAAAAATCGAAGACACGTTTTCTATCGCTTACACATATTGATTGTCTGGTTTTGTGTACGATCACAACTATAGAAAGATCAAAGTTTGCGAACTGAACAATGTTTTTACAAACAGAGATAAGTTGGGATGAGACATCAACATGTAAGTAAACAAAGTCAGATTTCTTTTCTTAGTCTTTTTTTACTGGCAAGGATCAATGATGTTGTCAGATTTTTATAAATCCAATTTTTTAACTCAAAAAAATATTCATACACTGTGCTCCAAAGAAAATTAAACGAAAAAGTGGCGGCAAACCGCCAGTTTTCAAGTCGTTTCGGGGACATGGACTATACATAGAGGGAGTAGGAAAGAAAAGCATCTTTATAGTTAACTGATTTCTCTTCAGTAAGTGTGTGTACTGTGTATACTTTATTTTCTTAAGGTAAAATTCATTTTATTAAAGGCCAAGAAATGTGGTTATGCCTATCCTTGTCTAAACTGCAACTTAAATCAAAGAAAAAGACTTTTCTTAAAGTGAATCCAGGAGTCATCAAAAAAAATCCTGCGCAATCACGTTTCTTTTAGATTTTAGGTGAAAATTTTTCCACTTTATGGTGTTCACATCGCTTCATGCGTTGAACAATCGTACCCTGGTGGATTGAAAACATAAAAATCATTATAATGAGAATGAATGCTATTGAACGGTGTATTTTTATAAGAGTGCATTTACGCAGGTCTTTCTAGATTTACAACGACTTTCTGCCAGTAAAATTTTCATGTGTTAGTCTTATAGCTCTCATCGCATTGTCTAGGGATTGATATTCAGTTCTGATTCGAGCAATGTGCTCACTGCAGTTAAATAAGTTCAAAAGTAGATTTTATGGAAAAACAGCCCTCGGTATCTATCTGCTTCATTCTTTTTGTGAACATCCGTTGAGACTTTTGAATGTATAGGAGTAGGTGACAACTTCTCTTCATCCACATCAAACTCACATTGACAGTCACAACAATCGCGCACATACTTGCATGCATAGCTACACTCATATCCGCACTCTGATATCAAACTTAACTCTATTTGCCAACAGGATCGATCTCTAGCTGGTCAAAGACCGACAGGAGAAGAAATTTGAAACCATGTTACGACCAAAAATTCTTTTCAAGAGGGTTGTACTAACAGTGAAAATAATTGTGTGTCAGTGTGAATCTTTTCTACATTCGCACCTTCATCCACATCCCTGTTTACAAATTGAATCGGTTGTCGATCGCTAGAATCTAATCAACGATATCCGACGACGAAATATTCGTGAAGTCCAGCCCTGTTTTGAAAGCATTCAATTTAACTTAAATGAAAACTTGAAAACAATGGAACTTCAACCTGTATGTCTACGGTTACAGTATAACCTCGAGCATTCTGCAAAAATGAACATAACCATTCAAATTTTATCACATGTATTGATAAATCTCATTATCATATCATATTTTCATTTTCTTTCAGTGCTATTGTTTTCGATATGATTGGTACGGTATGAATGCTTCGTGTTATCATCGGCATTGATTAAAAGCAAAGGAAAAAAAACATACAAAATAGTGTGATTAAAGTGAACAACTACCCACAAGACTGATACGTCTATAAGCGGTCGTTCCATCATTCAAGTAAGATGCTCTTGCCGACTGAATAAAGTTGTTTCTTCGATGCCATGCCTACTCTAGTAGCGCATAATCCAAGTAACTTCGTAATTTGTTTGTTTACTTGAAATTCAGTTCGTAAAAAAAAGCAGTTGTCATGTGAGGAAAAAAGAAATTCTTTTTCTGCCGGGCAAATTGGTTTTTTATGTCTGCTACGAGAGAAAGAAATTTTTCAAGAGTTATTTTGATGAAACGAACTTTCGACCGTTGTTTTCTTCACGATGAATGAAAGGTAAGGTAGCAGACTGAAAGACAAATAGAGAAAACTAATTAAGCTCACTAGCAATGGATGTAGATGAAACCGTAAAAACAATGCAAGTTCGTTTGAAAAGTCTCACCTCAATGCAACAATCAACTTCGCTCTTGAAAAGAAAGAAGAAAAAATATGCACTATTTCAATTGGTCGTGGGCGGTAAATCATACATAATATTTGCTATCAACTGCAAAAAGAGGTATAAAAAGGTCGGTTTGTTGCATTAAAATCAGGACATCGTCAACGATCAGAGCCATAACATAACAATATAACCATGCAGCCTCTCATTGCTGTTGCTTTGGTAAGAATCGCTTCTTTTTTTCATTCGTCTTTTTCTTCCATAATCGTCGTGTTATTTTTTCAATCATGTAGTTGGCTCTAGTCGTGGTTGTGACTTCAACGCCAATTCAAGCAAACAATATTGGTGGTGGACCGGCTAATTTAGGTCTACCACCACCAAAGGGTCCACCACCAAAGGGACCACCAAGTGGTTCTCCATCAAGTGATCCTCCACCAAGCGGTTCTCCACCAAGTCGTCCTCCGCCAAGCGGTTCTCTACCAAGTGGTTCTCCACCAAGTGGTTCTCCACCAAGTCGTCCTCCACCAAGTGGTTCTCCACCAAGTCGTCCTCCACCAAGTAGTTCTCCACCAAGTGGTTCTCCACCAAGTCGTCCTCCACCAAGTCGTCCTTCATCAAGTGGTTCTCCACCAAGTGGTTCTTCACCAAGTCGTCCTCCACCAAGTGGTTCTCCACCAAGTCGTCCTCCACCAAGTCGTCCTTCATCAAGTGGTTCTCCACCAAGTGGTTCTCCACCAAGTCGTCCTCCACCAAGTGGTTCTCCACCAAGTCGTCCTCCACCAAGTGGTTCTCCACCAAGTCGTCCTCCACCAAGTGGTTCTTCACCAAGTCGTCCTCCACCAAGTGGTTCTTCATCAAGCAGTTCTACGCTTCCTCCACTCTGATCGGGCGATGCTTCTCAGTCTATGTACACAAAGTTTAGAAGAATAAACAGAACTTATCTAATTTATTTCACCAACAGTGAAATTCATCCTAGTTTCTAATAAAAATTACAGCTCTAAAGAGTTTGTTTTTGTGTCGAACTACAGATTCAAAGGCAAGGCAATAACTCGTATTATATCTTGTGTATGAAAACGAGAAAGAAGTCATTGTACAGATAAGTTTTACAACTTTAGTGTACATATTGAACACTGTGACTACCAACAACACGAGTTTAACATCTTCAAACAAGCCTCGATTCACGAAATCATGTGGCGCATTGAGAATATTGATCGGAGTAGCCATTCATATTATAGATTTCTCCAACTTTTTTTTTTAATTTTCTTTTTACAGTAGTACCATAGCATGTCATGGATGATTGTTCAAAGATTTTTATTTGACAGGATGACGCTTGCTTATAGCTGCTTACTTCGCAACATAGTTTGACTAGTAGATTGTCAACTACTCAACGGTTCCTGACTACGCCGCGGTTGTAAAGTAACACTTCTCACCATAGCAGCAACAATTGAATTCTAGGAATCATCTGATCAGTTATCTACTTATGATGACTTTCGAGTTATTTTTACTGATTGTTCTACTTTATATCAAAGCTATATAGTATTTCAAAAGTTTGCTACGTAATAAAACATATAACTCTTCAGCCATTTAACTGACTTAATTTACATGAGTTTTCTTTCCTTCATAGAAGATGTTCTGAAGTTTTACTCAACGAAATTTTTTCGCCAACTGTTCAGAGGTGCAGAATCTACCCGCATGCGCGTACGGCCGTATGGGAAAATTTTTGAAAATTTATTAACATCTGGGGAAATGTTTTTGAAAAATCTTTTTCCTCCTAGGAAAAATTTTACAATTTTCCAAACCAATCTTGGTTTATTTATATAAGCATCGATAAGATCTTGTACCTTTCTTCTTTCTTTTATTTTCGTTAAATTTCGAAAAAGTCATCCGTTTCTTTCTCGTAGTGTCAGTATCGTCGACTTTTGTTTACGCTGATCATGCATCTCACTACTTTTCTTTCGCTCTTTCCTCTTTGGCGTAGTTCAGATGCAAAACGCACTATTTGTTTTCTCATCTTTTCATTTTGTTTTTTCACTAATGCGATGTTACTATTTGCCGTCTTTCCTCTGTTGCTACATATACACTACTGCTCACAAGTATTCGCCTCCTCGGATCTCAGTCCCTCTGACCTATAAACATCTGGAAATTCGTATGCGTGTTGTTTAGGATGTGGATGTGGGTATGGTCTTCTTTTCCCCCACACCGATACTCACAACCATACCGACATCCGCACCCAATGATTATTTTAGTCATACGAAAGATAGACAATGATTATATTATAAAAAGAAGTGAACAATATCAAGTTTGGAACCTTGTTTCTTCTGGCTCAGTAGTTTTAAATCGTTTACGTAAAGTACAAGGAAGAAAATTACCTGAACCGAACAATATTGAATAGTAATATTCTTTTTTTCTAACGTGTGTTTGCAATATGTCAAGTAGTCATAGTTTTTTTTTTAAACATACATCTTAAATGGAAATAACATGTTCTTTAACTGGATTTTATAATGAGGGAAATTTTTTGCAAAAATTTTGCCGTTTGGGAAAACTTTTTATTTTAGCGGCAGATTCTGCACCTCTGCAACTGTTGCTCAAAACTATTCTGAATAACTGTCGTAGATGAAATTTTGTTGAATAAAACTTAAGAGAGTTTTCTATGCAACAATAAACATTTTATGAAATCGCTTAGATTATTGAAGATTTATTTACGTTGCATTTCCGAACAGACTTTTGGAACAGTCATTTTATCAATAATTTTGTTTTAAAATACGAGCTAATACGCAAGAGGACAACTCTTCAGAAGGCATTTTTTCTCAGAGCAACGTGTCTTCGTCAAACACTTTTCACTACAACTGAATAGTGCTGATCATCTGTCTATTTAATAAAACTTGTCAACAGTACGATGTAACTTAATCGACTGTTGAAGAAATAAAATTACTATCAATGTAAATAATCAACAACGGCAATCTAATTGAATGCTGTTTCTTCTATTTCATAACATGTTCGACGACAATCAGTCCATTTTGAGGATGCATGGTTTCCATAAATGATCGAAACCCACACCCTTCAATTTACAAAAAAATGGAAATATTGGCATTGCTGTAAGGGTGGCTGTGGATCTGCATGAAGGTCATTTTTTTCACCTATACAGACCTCATGTCCACACTCAGCTTCTGCAGTCAGACATTCGCTTTAAAAAAAGAAGAATTTCATATATATATTATAATGAGACTGCACGAAAACTTTTACATTGCCAAACGAGCTATTTTTGATCGTTTTTTGATAGATATCTCTCGAAAACGTTATATTATAAGGCTAAGTATTTTAGCATAGTCTCTCCGATATGGTTCCAACGTATCCCTAAAATTTCGTGAAATTTAAATGCACCTAAATTAAGATCCATTTTTAAGTGTTAGAGTCGTACTGATTCATGCCATGAGAACAATATCAAATTTGAGTGTAAATGAAATCTATAATATCAATTTTCTACTAAGTCTACAAAAAGAATATTCGTATTTTAGCGAACTCTATGGTCGCTTGTACTTCATTGGATCATGAATATCCAATAGACATTACTTTTTGTGCATGGATACGATATCAATATGAATGATAAAGTTGATCAATGAAAATTTGGTGCACAAGTAAGTTGCATCAGATTTGTTTCTGATTGTTGATCAGCATCAACAAATACTTATACTTCTGTATTACAACCAGCGTCGTATAGATGTGTTTTACTTTACGGTTAACTGAAATAATACTAATATGAATTGATACCACTTCAGCATTATGTGACACGGTCGAATATGGCATAGGTTCGCCAGTGGATATGAAAAAGTGAATCTTTTTGACTGCTAGAGTGAGGTTAACACCATTGTCTAACAAAATTATTCCATTTCTTATTTGTCTTGCATGCTAACATCGTTCATTCATCCCACACAATGCAATTTGAATCACCATTGTTACATGAATAGTAACTATCAAAGCATTTACAATGATTATAAATTTTCATATATTAATATGGTCCACACCAGAATTCTAAAAGCTATCAATTGTTGTCAAATCACTACAAAACGTAAATATATTACAGAATAACATCGATTTTTTAAAGAAGGTTCAAAGATATTCATCAAATGACCATATGGTGTGGTGTTATCTGTTGATATAAGCAAAATTGAGACAAAGAACTATTGTCGAATTCAGCACAAAAACAAAAATACTTATTTCATCAGAATAAACTAACAGTTTTGATTATCTTTATATTATAATGTTTTTCTTTTGTTTATTGATGCCTTGTATTTTGTTGTTAATTATAAAGATATTATTCAAAATTGACCTCGAAATATTTTCATAGAAATTGTTTAATTCCAGTGTTGTATTAAAAAAATAGATAAGTATCATTGTTTTTCTCCTACTTAAAATCATTGAGACTTATAAAAAAAAAGGGAAACTTAAGTCTCAGCAATATTTCAGAAGTTGGAAAAATTCTCTTAGCACCATATAATTAAATAGTTTCTGGTGCTAAATTTCAATGACTGCAACCAAAGTTCTTATAAATTTCTGTTTTTTTTTAATTAGAGAATGGTATCTATTTATAATTTTTTTCGTCAAAATACTTCCGTTCTCAAAAAAAAAATGATATCATACGAGTCAATTATTTTAACGAATACATTCATGAGAAATAACTCTTATTCATCATAATTTGATTAATATTAGGACAAAATGCAAATTATTGCATTGAATCAACTTTAAATAACTTCTGAGTCGCATAAAACAATTTAAGCGAATTTATACAACACTAAAAACGAGCAACTTAACACTTCATTTTTTTCTCTATCAGCTTAAAGAAACTTCATGAATTAACAGGAGGGCACATATCCAAAGCATGAAATTCGCCAATATAAACAAAAGTTTATCAACTGCGTATGAATATGAATTCATTCAAAGTAATTCAGTCTGACAATTAGTTCCTAATCTATTCATAGCTAACAGAACACACATTGTCAAAGAACTACTCGAAATTTTGTTAAATATTGCTGAATTATATAATCTTCCATTTATGAATAATCGTAATTCATTTGTTGAACCATATGTTCGCACGATATGAATCCATGGATTTCTTGGAATAATAATGTATGTGTGATTTGTTCTTATTACTATGTGCACAACCAAATTAATCTAAACCCACACTCGTCCTAAGGTGAACACTTGGTTGGGAAAAGAGAATGTGTCATAAATTTGTTTGTCTTATGAGTTGTTACTATCTGGATAATATTTATTGGAGATATGATTATTATTTAACATATCATAAAGATTGAATGTGTTGGAATTAATCATAACTAATTAATAAAACAAGATGCATACACACGGAGAGTTCTAATTTACAGCTGTTTAATCGTAAATTTTTCCACATGTATAAACTAGAGGAAACATAGATCTTAAATAATACTTCATCTTCGATTGTATTTAACTTCTTCATCAAAATGAATTATTGCTATTTGCTAGACTTTTCAATTGTCTGTAATGATTGTTTCATGTTTCGTAAAGCGCAATATAAAGAGAAATTAAAGTGATGAAGTGCGAAAACTTTACGGAAAAAAGCTATTTTTTTCCTTTTCTTTTTACTGTGTCTTTGTTTTTTTTGTCATGATCCCAGGAATTTTCTATTAATAATCAATACCTAGATTTTTTCTTTTATTACTGTTTATGACGCATGGTAGTGTATCAAATTGAAATAATCATTTTGCAAAATTTTCTTTCCTCATATTATATCGATTAAGGTGTTTTTTTATATAAATATTTATCTTCTATTTATGAAAAATTCTTTCAAATTCATACATTGATCATTTACTACAAGAGATCTTTGTTAAATCATTTTTTTTTCGTTAATTGA